TTGGTCACTGAGATTACAAAAAATGTTCATGTTTGGTCACTGTAAATATTTAAATCCAATCTTGGTCACTTAAATTAGTTAAATGGTTCAAGTTTGGTCACTCTCCGTCCAACTCCGTTAAATTTGTCTGATGTGGCAGTCAACCCTCAAAGTTGACCGTTAACTCAGTGACGTGACAATTAAAAAATAATAAATAAATAAATTTTAATCTTCTACCATTTCCAACTCATTTTCACATTAAAGTAAAATAAATAACAAAAAAAAATTATAATTACAAATAAATCGGTTCACAACTCGGCAATTGGCGTTCATCCCGAACCAGCGACCGACGTCTCTGATGAAGATTCCATCGGCGGGCGCTTCATAAGCACCATGGACGCGAAGGCGGAGTCGGCCGCCACGAATCAAGAATGTAGCGGAAGCAGCGGAGGGGAAGGAGTTAAGAGTACCGAGAATGGCAACAAGGAGGAGCAGCGAGAGAAAGGGGAGAAGACGACGAAGAAGGAGGATGTGGGAGGAAAAGTAGATCCGGAGTTCTTCTGCTGCTTGCTTCAGCCTGCTAATGCCGATTGGGATCCTTATTATGCCGGCATCCGGCGGCTCCTCCTCTATCGCAAAGCGGAGTCTGGTTGCGTCCGATGTCTGGTGAGTTGTTCTCCACCGTTAGGGATGGCAATGGGTAGGGTCGGGTGCGGGTTTATCCTATACCAACTCCTAACCCGCCGGGTAGAGTTTTCTAAAATACCCGACCAAATAACCACCGGGTATGAAAATTATATAACCATACCCTACCCACCGGGTAACCACGGGTATTCGGGTAACCATGGGTACGAATCCTAAACTATGAACTTATACATATATATGCACATATATACTGTTGTCCATTAAAAATTCTCAATACTTGTAACTGTTCTAGTTTCAACAATCCACACAAATAAAAACAGCAAACACATAATAATTGTTCTTGCTTCTACAATCCACACAAACATAATAATCGTCTACATATTCATCATCAATAATGGTAGCTAAACTCAATTTCTCAAGATAAAATAAATTTCTCAAGGGAAATTGACCCTTTCGTTAGCGGGGCGGGTATAACGGGGCGGGTATTATCGATTACCATACCCGTACCCTACCCTTTATTTTGAAACCGGGTATTACCCGTACCCGCCCCTTAACCCGTCAAAGCGGGTAATTACCCTCGTTGACCGGTTACGGTCGGGTAGGGTACCCATGGTTACGGGTTGGATTGACATCCCTATCCACCGTCTGCGCACCTTTTGGTTGAAACCTGCAATGCTATTACCACTGGATCTAGGTTCGGGTTTAGACGTTCTGCATCGAGTATTAGGGGCTTGAATTGTTATTGAAACTTTCCTTTATTTGTAATTATAATATTTTTTTTTTGGTTTTTTTATTTTACTTTAATGTGAAAATGAGTTGGAAATGGTAGAAGATTAAAATTTATTTTATTTATTATTTTTTAATTGCCACGTCACTGAGTTAACAGTCAACTTTGAGGGTTGACTGCCACATCAGACAAATTTAACGGAGTTGGACGGAGAGTGACCAAACTTGAACCATTTAACTAATTTGAGTGACCAAAATTGGATTTAAATATTTACAGTGACCAAACATGAACGTTTTTGTAATCTTAGTGACCAGCCATGCAATTAACCCGTTACTGGTCGAACCTGACCAGGAGTTCGGGGTGTTACAGTAGTAACATTCATTCATCTTCGTCTACTCTTCTTTATGCAATGCAAAACTAGGGTGCATTCCCCATTGATTTGTCTATCATATTGCATTAGGTTTGAGTAGGTTTACTTGGGACAAACAAATGACTAAGTGTGGGAGAGTTCGATAACACCTAAATTAGTGTTATTTTCCCTTCATATTAAGGTTTTTTTCGTGCCAATTCATGTGCATGAATGCTCAAACATCATCAATTGCATCCATATTCCATTCCTATTTGAATTTGATGTGATTTTAGGGTGTATTAGAAGATATTTGCGAATTAGGTACAAAACAAGGTCACACGTGTAGCAAGGGGGCATGAAGCTAAAGATCGTGGTCTGGAAGGTGAAGATCACGGTCGCGAACGCAACCCGTGAAGTCAAGCTAAAGTTCGCGGCTTGGAAGCCCAAGATCGCGACCTCGAATTGGAGGGCTCAGGGCACGAACTTTGCGAGTAAGGAGCCATAGAGAAACAAAAGGTTTCCCTATTCACGTCCCGGCCAAAGCACATTTTTCCCGTGAGGAAAATCGCGGCCGCGACTAATGGATCGCGACCGCGAAGTCAGCCTGCAATCTTCCCCTTTCAGAAATCCATGCCAACAATATTTTGAGATCGCGGCCTCTCCTCAGAAGATCCCGCCCATGATCTCGTCACCCTTGGCCGCGAACTTCTCCGTCTCTAGAAGGTCTATACATAGAAGACCCCTTTCCCCCTTTTAGAAGAGCTGATTTTGAGAGAAATTTCTGGTTTTAGAGAGAGAAAAGAGAGAGAAGTTGAAGGAAGGAGAAGAAGGAGAAGGAGCTAGAAGAGAGGGAGCATCTTCCTCAACCCAAGTCTTCTTCCATTTCTTCTATGTTTCTTCTTCTCTCCTTTATGGAGTAGTCCTCTCAGGTATCAGGGATTCTAAACCCCAAACCCTAGTTATAGCCTTATAGGGTTTATTATGTAAGTATGGATATTTTAAAGTTTGAATGACTGAATGTGTTTATCTAGTTGGTTTAATTGATATTCTATCATGGATTGAGTTTGTGGTAGGGCTCCCTAATCTCTCTATTAGCCTACTTTATGCTTCCGCGCTGGGTATGCAGTTCTAGGGTTAGACGGGTATGCGCCATGAATCAAAACGTGATAGATGTATGAATAGGGACCTAGGGTGGTCGAGGCGGCCGAACCCCTGCCGTAGGTTAGCCTTCCTAGATAAAACCCGGGGTAAAACTTCGTTGTGGACGATGGATAGTGTCCATTGAAATGTCCATAAGCTTAATGCACCAGTTACGATAGCCTAGATCGAGGTGACTATTATGGGTTTAGGAGGCGTGTGGATAACCATGAAAGCCCATAAAAAAGAGCTCACTCACCATATTCGATAGTCCTAAGTATCTGACATGCATAGTAACCCTAAGCTCAGGGGGGGATTAGTTCCTCGAAGTACCTGCTTTTAGCTTTGATCAATCTTTAGTCTAGTTATCTCCTCAAATTCTCCACTCAAACCTCCAAAACCGATTAACTAATTAGTAACTAGGTGGGAAGTAGGCTAGGGTACCAGACCTAAGTAAAATACGACCTTGATTACTACTATACGACAATGACTTCTTATGTTAAACTTGGATTAAGATGGGTAAGTTGTTGAAGTGATATTCGAAACTCTTGACCTTGAATATTCATAGAAAGTTGGCGGTAAAACTATTATACTCTCTACTTCCATCGTAGAAGTTGAAGAAGATGATGTAGTGGATCCTTTGTCTTCTAAATCGAAGTTGTAAAATTTGTCAATTTCTTTCTCCCCAAAATTGGATGTTAGTTTAAGTATCCCCAAACTCTTCACCTACATGCTCTTTCTCTTATTTGAACATATGTGAACTCAAAATTTTCCTTACTTAATGATTTGCTTTACAATATTTTGATTTTCACTTTCTTATAGTTTTGCAGGGCTCATAAACAAAAAACTACAAAACAATTAAATCTAAATAATTTTTTTTTTATAATGGTGATATAGATTTTTTTTTTGTGATTAAGATACTACTTAAGGGATTCGAACCTGGGACCTCCAGGTTCTAGGCTAGTGGTATTACCACTAGACCAAGCCCTTGTTCGTTAAATCTAAATAAAAATTAAAGAAACATAAGAAGGTTAGGTACTTTAAAATACAATTAAAAATTCTCGATAACTGTGCAAAAAACTTTATGCAAACCAAGAAAGCATTAGGTAAGTGAGATCATGAGTGAAATTATGCCAAAATATCCTAATTTTTTCATAGATATGCTTGTTTACATAAGTACATTTATTTAGGATTAAAAAACTTGGGAGTTAAGGCAATAGTTGTTACGTAGGTTGGTTGGATTGAATATCTATGTGTTGGGTAAACCAAAACTCATACCTAATTCAAAAGAGGCGAGTTCCACAAATGAAAATCATCATCCAATATTAAACTTTAATTTGAGCAATAAAGACGAATGTGTTGTGATGAATTGGATGAGTAGGTTGGATTATGGTTATTATTGTTCCGTTCGGACTTGGGATGGCTGCAAATGAGTCAAGCCGCTGATGAGTAGTTCGGCGTTCGAATCGAAAAAAACTCGTTATTTAATGTGCCGACTCATGAGCCAACTCGTTTTAAACGAGCCAAGCTTGAGATAGACCATGCTCAGCTTGATATGCTCGCGAGCTAGCTTGACTCGGTGGCTTGTTAAGCTAAGCTCGCGAGTTGCCTTGTTTAGAGTTTGTGGAAGGAATAATTAGTCTTCTGAACATGAACATTGTCTTATTAATACGGATGTTATGGAAGTTAGAGGTTAATTTTAGTTTCTAGTGTCCTTTATATCATCTAAATTCTTATGTTTACACATTTTTCAACAAAAATGCTTTTAAATTGAGCTCATCTTAAGCCAAGCTGTAATAAACTTGACAAGCTATGTTAATGAGCATTTATCGAGCTCTACTAAGTTGAGTTCGAGCTAGATTATTTTTATTCAACCCGAGCTCGATTAACAAAATTCGAATTCGAAATCGAACAGAGTTGGATTTGAAATTTTTTATAAATGAGCTGAATTTAAGCTATTAATCTAAGCAAAGCCGCTCTACTTAGGAGCTGATGAGATCACGGTCGGGAAGGAAGAATGATTTTGGGACGACAAGATACTGCCATTTGTCACCAGCAAATGAAAACTGAAAAGTGCACAAATTAAAAAGTAAAGATGGTAAAAACAAAAAGGGAAGTTGGAATTAAATATACGGATATTGCTGCCGAAAAGAACTGAGAAGGGAAAAGGGTTGGCCTTGGCCTTGGGGACGGGGTGGGTCCAATTCATCCTTATTTAACATTTGCCCTTCCCTCTACTTCCTCACCAAACACCCTCATATCTCTCTTTCCTATTACTTACCCGTTTCAGTTCCAATCCAACCCACCAGCACTCTGGCCTTGAGCAAACTTCAATTCTTTTTTCTGAAGAAAAAAGCGAACCCAATTCAGAGAGAGAAAGCGAATGATCTCAAGCTCAAGATTCATACTTTTGTGCTTTTCTTCGAATAAAGAAAGGTGATGTACTTTGCTTCTCTTCCTAAACTCCAATCCTTCTACATTGCTTCGATTTCGTCGCTCGATTCTTCGTATCTTTCCCCACTTTTTATTAATGTTTTGTCGTGTGATGATGTTTCATCTCTTGTCCTGTTCCTATTGATTTTCTCGCTTCCAAAACCCTCCCCTGAATTTCTGTTGGTGTTTTCGACGTGCATTTGCTCCAAATCGTTTTGGGTTGGTGCCTAGCCTCTTCCCAAGAATCAAAGTTTTCTTAAATGGGGGTTTCGATTGGAGGATGAGATGATGATGGTGTAAAGTTGATTAATTTGATTCCTTCTTACTCTGACTTGTTGACTTGCTGAGACCCGCCTTCCGCGTTTACGTTTCAGAAAGGGAAAAGCCAACGAGGGTTTCCTTCTGGTTCCTCTAAAATCCATTCTGTGACTGTAATGGAGAGTCGTATGGATTTCTTCAACTGGCTGGATTACGATGCGTTGATGAAGATTTTATTGTGCTTGGATGATCCTGCTGATCTTGTCCGCGTCAGTTCCGTCTCCCGGAGTTGGAGACATTTTGGTAAGTCTCACTTTGCATAGTTCAATTACTACTTCAAATTTTCAGTATTCCAACAATTAAACACCTTTCTATCGTCATCTTAATTAGTGACGTCGTGGAACACTAGTAGGATTTGTTTCCTCAATTGTTTTTGGTTAACCTGGTCCAGAAAGTTTCTTGCTTTATGTTCGTGTCTTCACTTCTTAGAGTCTGGGTAGGATTCCCAAGTAGTGCTTGTATGTTGAGTCTCATTTTTGCATATGTTCTGCTTTAGTTCCGGTCTCATGTTGCAATGCATTCGATGTCTTGTCTCATTTTGCATATGTTTTGCTCTAGTTCGTCAGAAGTATGTACCACTGGATGGTTGTAAGACATGACAATGAACAAGTTCCCTCTCTGCTTGATGGTTGAAGTGTTCCAGAGGGATAATTTGACCTCTTTTTCGTGAGCCAGAGCAGGAGAATGCTCGTGCATCTGCCTAAATTTTGTTCTTTGGCCTTGGATTGACTTAAATAAATGCCTTTTGCAGTTGTCACAAATGGTCTTAGTAGGCAGCTCTGCATAAAAATGTTCCCTACTTTGCAGAGACTTGACCATGTCGTTGAACCAAGCCGTTGTGTTAAGGATATTACAGAAGTTGGATGCAGCAGATTTGTGGAAGATGAAAATCTCGGGGTTGAACACCGAGCTTTTGCATTTCTAACTCGTTCTTGCAAAACTTTACCTTTGAGAGAATGTATAGGAGAAGCTATAAGTGCTTCTAGCACTGATAATTATCCGGATGAGAGTGTTCGTAATACCCTGGAACCACATGAGAGAGTTGGAAGGCGGCCTTCTTATTGGTCTAGTAAAGGACAAAACAAGTCTGCAGTGCCTGAGACGCTCGTCTATAAGCTGGCCAGCGACATATGTGTGGTTTCTGAAATCAACATAAAGCCGTTCCAAGGTTTGACTTCTTCTTCATGTGGTATGTTTGATGTCCTCTTTCTTCCACTGTTTGGATGGCATGTAATGAAAGACTTTTCTTGTTTGCAGCTTATTTTCAGTGGGGTTCTCCTATATATTCTGCCAAATTCGTAAGATTTCGGTGTGGCCATCCCAATGTTCCAATGGATGGTCCCATGAGCGAGCCATGTGATGTTTGTCCTGCTGAGAAATTCACGTGGACTTACACTTCCCCCGAGTTTCCTATGGCACAGGTAACTAAAGCTCTGGGCATTCTCCCTCATGTTCTTTAAATTGCATAATTTGAAAGATTATTTCCGTGTTTTGTTGAAGTAGTTTTTTTCTCGGACCAAGCATCTGAAGCAGTCCCAGCTTATCCTTCCGCTACAAGTATGTCCTGTGGTTCTGATTAGGGGTGAGCAATTTTTGGGTAATGTAGATGTTGAGTTCAAAACCTTGCGTCGACGAGTTGATGGGTGATGACAAAACCACACACGTCCACCCAAACATAATATTACGGATGGATTAGGGAGTGATGGTGGGTGGTGCAACTTTGAAGAATTAGATAATAGATTGAATCTCAGGTAAATTTTGGAGAATTGGCTATAGGCGCTGGTGGTATTGTGAAGAGACTAAAGAGTTGGGATTTTTGGGAAAATTTGAGAGTTGGTTCAGTCTTATCGGGGGCATATCTAACAACTGCACCCGCCATTCGGAAACCAACTATCATGTGATTTGGGGGTTGAGTGGGGTGGGTTTGAGCGGATCCAACCGCCGACCAGTCACCTCTAGTTTTGATGGATGCTCCTCGTGTCAATTGAGTTTTCTATATTTCTCTAACTTAATGATGTTGAACAGGAGAATAGACTACAAAATTTCAAGCTTCCTGACCCCATCCTTTGCATTGGTGGAATCCTGATGATTGAGCTTTTAGGCAGAGTTCAGAAACAAACAATGGATGGGCTCTTCTATATATGGTTTGTTCCAGAATCCTTCGAATACTCTTTTGTGTGTGCTTTCTACCAAACCCATATGCGTGCTCAACTTTACGGTCGCCTATAATTTATCTAGCCAGTTGTTCAATCCTTTCTAAGGCTGAACATCATAAAATCATCGATATTGTCTTGACAATGCCCTGGAGTGACTGAAAAGGTGGAGAACTAGGGTCTCTTTAGAAGCTTACTGATTGCTAGGAAAAAGGCGAGTAGCATTGCTTTAGCAGCCTTTTTTTATCTGCAAAATAGGCCTGGCCTTATTTAGTAACAGCGGCCGTGGCCTTTTAAAACGATTCTTTCTAGCTCCGTAGTAGTGCCACCATGATAGTAGTTTGCTGTTTCCTGAGCAGTCTTGCACCTAATTCGCACATCTTTAACTGCTTTTATCATCTTGTGCATCATTCACTTCTCATCATAGCTCCTTAAGCCCTGATGGATGTTTGGCTTCAGCATTGAACTTGTTAGACGGGCGCACTTCTAATGCACTCTTCTGTTACTACAATCTTGCAGCATCTCTCATGTTCAAGTCATGGGCCGCACTTTATCACCTGCATTCGGGGTCGAAATCTTGGAGCCGTCTGGTTGTTTCACCTTAAATGCACTGAGCTACGAACCCACCTTGCCAGAGAAGCCCTCCCCGAATGCGTACTTGCAAGGGCGGATAAGAGACTTGGAGCAGATATTGAATCTATTAAGAGACCAAGGAGTAGTTGTTGAGGAGTACGATTGGAATGGAGACGAGGAGGAGGTCGACGATGAGTTTGAGGAGGACTTCGCTCTCTGAGTCCCCTCAACTGACCACTTCAAGGTAGAAGCTGTGCGCACTGCTTCTGTGCCTTGTAATTTGTATCTCATGCATTTGGGCCAAGCATAATGATCTCTGGTTTTCACCCAGTTAATGCGGAGTGATGGTCCTTGAAATGCCTTTGTTTCCCCGCGCTCGCTGGGGCAATGTTTGTATGTGTATCTGTTTCAAATAATAACAAAAATAAGGTCATGCTCATGCCTTCGTTTTTATTTTTCCCCTTCTCCTTTGGTTCATGAGCACTATATGCTACTCACCGATTAAGGGACGAGAGATCGAAGGAAGATAAGGTTCCCGATTCACAAACACATAACTTTCACACCCTCAATTTTCATTTTCTGAAAATAAAATTTACTGGTTACCTTGTCATTGGTTACTAACCAGTTCATCTACACAATAAATAAAACCAAATGAGAAAACTTGAAGCCCCATTTCAAATTTCCTGCATTCAGAGTGAAAGTAGGAAGGATAGATTCGTCTGCACAATCACTTATTATTTTCTTATTTACAGAAAAAATACAACAGTAATGAGATTTGAACCGTGGCCTCTTTGAACAAAGATAAGAAACACAACCAGTTACAATAAACACATTTGTGTGATCTTTTGCAATTAAAAACATACAGGAAGCTTAAATCTGGAAAAATATAGGAGTTTTCCACCAAGGTTAGCAACCGAAATGTCATTGATTCAAACATTGCATATCGAATTGCACTCTTGAATTTGTAGAAGTGATGTAGAATTCTTAACATAGACTTAATTGTTATAACTATCATAAAGTAACAATATTTTTAACACATAACTTTTGAGTGAATATGGGGCACATGTGTCTTTAAGAGAGGGGTAAATATGGAAATGTTGAGTGATGTTGGTTTGCCGAACGTGGATGGAAAAAACACTACTAATGTAAATGGACCCAAATAGTTTCCCGACCCACTAAACACTCAACCATCATCGTCTCTCCAAACTTCTCATCAGACTCAACAACCGGCTAACCTCCTCTACCTCTATTATTAAGCCAAAGCAATTTTTGGAGGGATAAATAAGGAAAGATTGAGTGTTGTTGGTTTGCCCAACGCAAATGGAAAATGTGCTACTAATGTAAACGGACCCAAATAGTGTCCGACCAACTAAACACTCAACCACCGGGTTACTTTTGCTACACCTAATATAAGAGTGAAATGTGAAAGGTGCTCCCCCCATTACAAAATCCTTGCATCCATAGCATAAGTAGAAAGGATAGATTCGTCTTCATAGTCATTTATTATTTTCTTATTTACAGGAAAAATACATAAGTGATGGGATTTGAATTGTGATCTCTTTGAGAAAAGACAAGAAACTTAATCAGTTACACTAAACAAATTTGTTTAAAAATTTTAAATTAAAAATATACAAGAAGCTCAAATCTGAAAAATCATTGGAATTTTCCATCATAGTTAGCTAAGCCACTAACTCTCCCCTAAATAATTTTTTGGTATTTGATACTTCTATTTTCATACTTTGATTATTTTAATTCGAGTTTAATAATCAATTCTATTTTTATTTATTTTATAAAAGGAGAATAATTTTATAATTGCAAGCCTAATGTTATTGGTGCAAATATTGCACATCGAATTGCAGTATAGAATGTGTAGAAGCGAGGCAAAATTCTTGACATAGCTTAAATAATATAACTACCATAAATCAACAATATTTTTGAACATAGAAGTTTTGAGTGAATATGTGGCACATGTGTTTTTAAAAGAGGGGTAAATATGGAAAGGTTGAGTGATGTTAATTTGTCGAATGCGGATTGAAAAGCCGCAACTAATGTAAATAGGTCTAAATGGTGTCCCGACCTACATACTAAACGCTCAACCATCGCCGTCTCTCCAAACCTTCCCACCGGATTCGACAACCGCTAACCTCCTCCGCCTATATTGTTACGCAAAGCAATTTTCGGATGGGTAAATATGGAAAGATTGAGTGTTCTTGCTTGGAGAGCTGACTAGTGGGTTATTTAGTTTCTTTGACAGTAATGTGTAATCTCTTAACATCAGTTCATTTGGTTGATCTTCTATGTTGACTTTTGAGTTGATTAAAGATAAATAGTGTCCCGGGCTCCCGTCCTACTAAAGGCTCAACTATCAGCGTCTGTCCAAACCTTCCCATCGGACTCGACAATCGCCTAACCTCCTCCACCTATATTGTTACGCAAAGCAATTTTTGGAGGGGTAAACATGTAAAGGTTGAGTGTTCTTGCTTGGAGAGCTTACTGATGGGTTATTTAGTTTCTTTGATAGTAATATATGAACTCTTAACATCAGTTCATTTTGTTGATCTTCTATGTTGACTTTTGAGCTGATTAAAGATAAATAACTATACTTTTTGTTGCTTTGTTATGATACTCCTTTTCAGTATCATCATTTTTATGATTTGAAATGTTTTCTAATCAAATTGTAATCAACCACCCCTTTTCATCATTTGTAAACTCTAACAGATAAGTGACAAAGAAATCCACAATATCACTTCACTGTAACAATACAGTATTTATTGAAGATTGGTGGCTTTCTCTTCTTTGGTTAAACTAGCATAGAAGATAGACAAAGAGGGGGTTTAAACAAGTGGTAAGAGAAGGGCAGATTAAGAAATGAAAAACAGAGACCGAGAGGGGATAGTTGAAATTGAGGTTCGGGGAGAGAATGACATGCAGGGAAAAGGTTTGCAGAGCTAAAATTAACATCAGGAAAACGAGGATGGGGAGAAGTGACTATCGGTGGTGATATAATTGAGATCGAGAGAGAGAAGTGAACCATGTGCCGGTGAGCACTGAGAAGCTTTTTCTAGGGATATAGGGGTTCCTTTAATCCTTTTTTATTCCTCGGTGTTGGTAAGATATATACGAAATGGCAAAAACAATACTTCTTTTGTATTGCTAAAAAGAAAAAAAATTAACAATAAAAATATGCATGAATTCTAATGGGCTAACCGCTAACCATAGAATAAAAGAGTTGAATAGGCCTGACCCATACGGGATTTGGCCATCAAGTAAAACAAATGAACATCATGGGTTTGTCATTCTAAAACATCTGAGTGCCTAAATATAATGTATTTTAAAGTTATTAAAATGGTTCATCCTCGATCAACCAGATTAGTCTAATTTTTATAATTTCAAATATATATTATGTAATTATTTGATATCATAATGATTAAATTATAATGTATTTTATAGGCAATTTTTTATTCGGTTCTATAAACTTTACTCCACCTCATCATATTACCAGAAATAATACTGTTTCATAAGGTAATAGGTGCTCGAACTTGGTTCATAAGGCTGATTGTTGATTCGTTGCATCATCCATGCCGCTTTCCTGCTAAAATGCACTATCTTTATAACGTGTTTCCCAAAAAGAATATACAACAAAAAGCTATACACCTTACTACATTCTCAAATTTCATACCTCACCTTCCTCCGGCCAACTGGCCGGGGCCACGCTAGTCTAGTTAGAATCGTGACAAAAAATCACCAGCCGAAAGGTTGAAAATTGAAATTGGTTATGTTGCGATGTTCGATGGTGAAACTTGAAATTGGTTGTACCGATTTTTTAATCGGAAAATTGGTTGTACTGATTCAGTTACTTGTTAGTGTTAGATATTTAACATTGGTTAGTGAACGACTATTTGCCGCCAATAAAATGCTTGGTTACCGACATCTATATAAGATCATAGATTCGTAATTTTACTTTGAATTCTCAACAAATTCAAACAAAATCGTCGTCGAAAATTTAGAAGCTCTTGTTAACTGTCAGCCTTCCTCGCCACTGGTCCACTTATCTCGACGGTAACAAGACTTTCTCGCCGCGGGCCAAGACCAGGGACTCAGAATTGAAACGAGACCATATGTGTCTCATTTTTGCCTTCTTTGTTTTTTGAATTTTCATTAAAAAACTAGCTTTTCCAGTGATATTTGCAATGGAACGAGCATTTCTGATGGCCATAATTGAAGCGGCATGAAGGAAATTGCCGACCGAAAGAGGTTCTGGCCAACATTATCCTTCAACTTACAATGTCATATCCACCTCCTATTTATAGCCACAAGAAGTAACTACCTTGAGAAACTGCTCAGTCAACGTGGGAGTGATACTTACCCTCTCAATTGCTCTGATGTTGCCCTAACATTGGTAGTGATCCCCTCTTCAATCTTGGCTCCCTCATCTCGATAGCTCCTTCTTAGCTTTGCTTTTCAGCTGAGAAAAGCGACTAAGTCATGAAGATTGAAGAACCATTCCACAAATTGAACTCGATTGTCCAGAAAAGCTCCTAGGAGGTTGGAAAACTCCCACATTGATTTTGCATGAGGGCAATGGAATAGGCAATGCATTATCGATTCTAACTGCTCGTCACATATAGGGCATTTTGGGTTGGGGGAACATCTTCTCGTGGACAGCCTTTCAGTCGTTGCCATAACTGATTTCGAGCAAATCCAAGCAAAGATATTAGACGACACAAGGACCATTATGTAAATAACCACGTAGCTTAGGATTAGTTAAGGATAGATTAAATGTAATTAGGACCTAAATGTAAATTAGCTAGGTTGTTACAACTGTAATGGATTTTCCCTCTGTTCAACTTTGTAAACCATAGTATAAATTCAGCTTCTCGGGTTGAACTCTGTACGATTTTCTTAATCCGATTTAGTGAAACAGAACTTCAATAAGAATTCTAGCATGGTATCAGAGCTCTTTTGAGCCGATTTCGTCTCACAATCTCGCTTCCGCATCTCTCTCTTGTCTCTTCTTCGAGTTTTTGATATCGTCCTCCTATGGCGATTCATGATTCTTCTTCTTCCGTGGACGAAGTTGCAAACCCTCACATTGGAGGTCGCCAGAGAAATTATGGTGTGATTCTGTATAAGGGCGTTCCGATTTCCGATCCCGCCTCTCCCTTCTTGATTCACCCGTAAGAGAATTGGGGTCAATGTCTCGTTTCTCAGCCACTCAACGAGAACAATTTCTCGAGCTGGGAAAGATCCATGGTTCTCGGCAAGACCAAATTACGGTTCCTCATTGGCAAAATCCCGCAGCCACATGAAGATTCTCCACTGCTCGAGCCTTGGAATCGCAACAACAAATTGCTTCTTAGCTGGATTCAGCGGTCTGTGAATCCTACTATTACTAAAAGCATTTTGTACGTGACTACGACAATTGATGCGTGGACCGAGCTTCGAGAGCAGTTCTCGCAAGGGGATTCTTTTCGCATCGCCGATCTTCAAGAATCGATCTTCAATCTCAATCAAGGTACAATGAGCGTTCTCAGTACTACTCTAAGCAACGAGCTTTGTGGGATC